ACCCCATTTTTTCGAGCCGGGCACTTTCGCACAACTTCGGGCCCCGGGACCCTCGCAAATCGCCCTGGTTCGAAACAATGACGCAGAAAGATGGGGTTTAGGGCTCCAGTCGTGATCTCTCACGAGGTTTCAATTTTTCGAGACGTGGGGAGTGAACCTGGGCAAGAGTTAAGTCGGGCCTGTCCCCCTACAGGGGGATTTTCAAATAAAAATGAAAGATGCCCCCAAAATACCCCCAAACAAAATCAAACAAATACTACAGAAATAGCCCCCAGACTATTTTGGGAGTACTTTTTGACTCGTTTGGGGATCTTTTTGATTCTTCGTCGAAAATCCCCCTGCAGGGGGACACGCCCGACTTAAGGCAAGTGTGGCACTTGGTGCGCGGCTCCTGTGGGCACGGGCGCGCGAGACGCCGCCTCGGCACCGCGCCCGTGGCGCTCGAGTAGCCCCGCGGCGGGCCCACGCCGAGGGCCACTCGAGCGAAGCGTCCCTCTGCACGGGGGGCCCGTCGACGGAGGCCGACCCTGATGCCTTCTGTGAACGTTGTCGTGTTCTAGGGGGCAAACAAACCTACCTCGCTTTTGACCACCCTCGCTTCCAGGAGATAACAAGCGATGTCAAACTACGGCCTGTACTGGTCAGGCCGCTTGACGAGGAGGCGCGTGGTATGACTTGGTTTTGCCTGGAAGCGAAAGCGGGGTAGGTAATTCACGCTCTGATCTTCGGCGTTTCGACATCCAGCAGAAGGGGTGGGGCTCTGGCTCCGGACCTCTGCTCAGTGCGACTGTTGGGAACAGTGCGCCTCTGGGGCATCCTAGGGGGAAGCGGGGCCCCCGCGCTTGCTCCACCTGCTTGAGGCAGGCGCCAGGAACAGCCACGATCTGCTCCAGGGGCTCGGGGGACTGGTGCGAGGGGCCGCGCGGCCGCGCCGATCGGCCAAACAAGGACTAAGAAAACGATGGCTTCTGACGCGAGCCTGTCTGGGGGAAATGCGGGCAGTACTTGTATCCATATCCAGAGCGTCGTGGACTTCTTGGGAAGAGGTGCCGCAACGCCGAGGCGCACCGGATATGGATAAAATCGAGCATCTCGGGGCCAGATTTTGATCCATATCCAGTGCGTCTACGGCTTCTGGGGAAGAGAGCCCAAGAATCCAAGACGCACTGGATGTGGATATAACTATTGCCCGCGGGAAAGATTGCAACCTCGTGAGAAAGTCACGACCCGAGCCTGTCCGTGGGAAAGATGGAAGCCTCGTGCTCGCCATCGCTCGGACGCTCATTCCCTGTGCTTTTTTCTCGGCTTCGTGCGTGGTCTTTTTCCGCCAAAGGATCAAGGATGCTCCTCGGTGGCCCGCGCCGAGAAAAAATGCACACGCCCGAGCGATGCCAGGCGTGAGACAGTCACGACCCGAGCCCCAAGCCCCACCGTTCCGCGCCGCCGCGCGCGGGCCCGGGCCGAGCCGCGAGGGCCCCGGGGCCCGAGGCAGGGCGACGGCGCCCCGACGGAGTCGCCGGGATCTCCGGGGGAGGCCGACCCTGAGCTCCCGAGCTGAAGGGGCCCCGGGGCCCCACGCAGATAAGTGCACACAGATAATTATCGGGGAGACGTAAGACCTGGGTACAGGGGACTCGGAAATCCCCGACGAGGTCGTCAACAAAAATGACGAGGCCGAGCCTGCATTTTGACGAGGCCTCCCGCTGCAGACATCCCACGAAACTCCTCCTCGTCAAAATCCGAGGCGCGGTCGTCAAAAAACGATGGCGAACCCGAGTCCTGCCAAACCCGGGTCTTACGCTCCCCCGAAATTAGCGGGCGAAGAACTGTGTAAAATCAACTCTTTCGCTGTCGGGGGCGCCTGTCCCAGAGCGGCTGGGAAGTTAAGACCCTTACGGTGGCACCGTAGGGGTATAGACTTTCCAGCCGCCCAGGGGCAAACGCCCCCGACAACGAAACAATTTATTTTATACCGTTCTTCGCTCGCTGAAAAACGGAAAAAAACATACCCCCCCCCATATTTCCCATGTGTTTGGGGTTTCTGCCTTCCCCCCAATTCTCCCATACTTTCCCATATCTTCTCGGGGGTCGACGATTCCTTGTGTCTGTGTGTTTTTTTTCCACTCCTGACCAGTCGACGAAAGATAAACATACCCCACAAATGCTGAAACAATAATACAACAATAGTCTGGGGACCATGTTTTGAATGTTGTTTTGACCTTTTTGGCGCATTTTTGGAGTATGTTTAATTTTGCATCGGAAATCCCCCTGTAGGGGGACACTCGGGGATGGACAGACCCCCTCTAGCAAAACGTGGTTTAGTGAAAACGACCTGAGGCCCAAACCTGGCGGGCGCAAGCCTGGAAGATGACGGCCACGGCGCCCTCTCGAGAACCGAAAACGGACAATTCACCAATCGACGTGTCACTGTTGGGGGTTCTGTCCAGCCCCGAGATAAGAGGCAACTCCGATCAGAATCGGTCCCCGAACGCCTGCCGGGGCCCATTTGGTACAATTCTCCACCCCGGAGCCGTTTTGGACCCGAAGGCGGCCCCCGGAGGCCGAAAAAGGCAACACCAACAAAAGCGCCTCGAACCTCGCCCCCTTTCCCCCCCCTTCCCTCTCGCCCGGCGCAGCGCGGCCCCTGCACATCGGCGTCTCGCCCCGCGGAGCTCCGCGCGGACCGCCTGCCTCACCAGCCCACCCCAAGAGGAGGGAGGAGGAGAGGAGGAGGAGGAGGAGGAGGAGGAGGAGGAGGAGGAGGAGGAGGAGGAGGAGGAGGAGGAGGAGGAGGAGGAGGAGAGTAGCGTAGAGAGTTTGCGACGCGAGCACGTCTGGGCGAGGTGCCGGGCGAAGCGCTCGGCCCTCGGAGGGGGCCACGGGCGGAGGCCCCTCCCGCCGCTCCCGGGGGGCTGGCGTGGGGGCCCTCCGGAGGCCTCTCCTGGGGGCCCCTCTCGGGGTCAGGGCCTGTGGGGCGGCGGCAGCACTTGCAGGAGGAGGAGGAGGAGGAGGAGGAGGAGGGAGGAGGAGGAGGAGGAGGAGGAGGAGGGAGGGAAGGAGCAGGAGGAGGAGGAGGAGGAGGAGGGAGGAGGAGGAGGTGGAGGGAGGAGGAGGAGCGGAGGAGGAGGAGGAGGAGGAGGTGGAGGAGGAGGAGGAGGAGGAGGCGGAGGAGGTGGAGGAGGAGGAGGAGGAGGAGGAGGAGGAGGAGGAGGAGGTGGAGGAGGAGGAGGAGGCGGAGGAGGAGGAGAGGAGGAGGAGGGAGAGGAGGTGGAGGGAAGAGGAGGAGGAGGAGGAGGAGGAGGAGGAGAAGAAGGAGGTGGAGGAGGAGGAGGCGGAGGAGGAGGAAGAGGAGGGGAGGGAGAGGAGGAGGAGGGAAGAGGAGGAGGAGGCGGAGGAGGAGGAGGAGAAGGAGGTGGAGGAGGAGGAGGAGGCGGAGGAGGAGGCGGAGGAGGAGGAGGAGAAGGAGGTGGAGGAGGAGGAGGAGGCGGAGGAGGAGGAGGAGGACAGGAGGATAATGGGGTGCAAGACATTGAGCGTCTTCCTCTCCCTTCCTCCCCCCTCCCTCTTCTCCAAGGGGGAGGAGAAGAATGAGGAGAGAGGTCTGCGCGCATCTCAGGGGGTCCAGGTTTCGTTTTCCCCACCCTCCTCCTGGGGCACGAGGAGCAAGACGAGAATGAGGACGCGGGCGGATCGGATCGTAGGCCACTCAATTTCCCGCCCGGTGCCCCGTGGTGCGCGGTTATCTTCGCGCCCTGGCGCCGCCGCCCTGGAGCAGGGTGCCTCCCCAACCAAAACTGCGATGCGCGAGCCGCGATTGGCGCTCTCGGGGCTGGCGGCCGACTCTTTTTGTCAAGGAGGCGCCCCTGCTCAGCTTGCCAGGGTATGAACTCCGCCCACCGCATCGCACTATGCTCGGGATGCCTTCACTGCCATCTCCAAGCCACGAGGGCGCAAGGCCGTGCAGGCGGTCCCAGAGGACGAGCCAACGCGAAAAGGACGCGGACGAAGAGAAGGACCGGGCCAGCTCGGGCTCGGCACTGCGTGCGCTGGGAGGCGGGAGCCGCACGCTGCGAGCTCTGCCTCGAGCAGTCGTGCGGACATCGGGGATGAGGGCACAGGGCGCTGTGATGGCTGCGCCGGGAGCAGGAGGCGGAGAAGGAAGAGCAAACGGTTCACGCGTAAAACGTTGAAGATCGAATGCTCGTCGCTGCTCAGCGCATGGAGTGTAAGCAGGAAAGCTACATCAGCCAAGCATTTCGCACGTTTGCATGAAGCATCTCGCATGATTCACGCTTCATTTCCCTCCTCACCCCTGCCAAGCCTCCTTCTCCTCAGCTTCTGTTGCCGCGATAACCACTCGATTTGGTTTCTGCACCTCCTTCTCCCTTGGCCATGAAACACAATGACTTGGGTTGCATATTTTGGGCAGGGCAAACGCCTGCTGTACAGCGCGCGTGCTCGCCAAGACATGAGCGTACGCTCAGTCAAGCGAAAGAGCCAAACCGAGCTCGAGTCCGTGGCGGCACGAATCGCGACGAACGTGCGACTGCCAACATGGAACACAAGCAACGTTTGAACAATGGCCAACACATGATCATATCCGACTCGGCTAATAGCAGGTGCTGGGCTGCCCAACATATTCTGTTCCACCGCACGCACGGAAACGCAACTGAACATCCGTAGGGCACACGGCCCGTGCGTATGTGCATTGCACCAGACGGCGGAATCGGTAAAGTTCGAGCAACGACCCAGGATCAAGTCGCCCAATCTCAGCCACCGACATCTAAGGTTCCGAAGACCGATGTCTGGAGCCTTAAACAATACACACGATGTCGCTACTGAAAACGCGAGTGCCAGACATACCAGCAATAGCACGCAACGACACTGATGCTACCATCATCTGTCAAATCTGGCCCACGACGCATCACCTACACTTGGCGCCGCCGAGCTCCTTCAAACGGTGTCGGATGCTCCGTGGCCAGACGTGGCCGTGAAACGCATTATGATAAAAACGTGCTCTCCCTTCTTGTTCCCCCCCCCCGCCCGTCCTCCTCACTCCCCCTTGCAACTTCCGACTCTGCCCTGATAACGCGCCCCCTGGCCGGCTCCAACCGCGGCCCGCCGGCCTTCTTCTGGGGATGCGGTCTAGCAAACACGTCGCCGCATGGGCTTCGACTTCGTATGCGCCGGCCGTCTTCATGAATTGAGTCGTTGTGTAAGGCTTCATGATAAAAGAATGTTGGTGGGACCGTGCTGATGAAACACATCGCCATTGTCCGTTCTCGGTTCTTCCTCCTCCTCCTCCTCGTCCTCCTCCTCCTCGTCCTCCTCCTCCTCGTCCTCGTCCTCCTCCTCCTCCTCCTCCTCCTCCTCCTCCTCCTCCTCCTCCTCCTCCTCCTCCTCCTCCTCCTCCTCCTCCCCCTCGTCCCCCCCTCCTCAAGCCTCGGTGGGTGACACTTTGTTGGGCGCACCGTCAGCTGGGACCGCTCAGATTGCCATTGAGCTCTTCCCGCCGCGATGCGACCCGTTTTTCTCGGGCTTGGCCGCGAACATTCTTACGAACGTTTTCTTATTCGGCGTTCCCGCATTGGGCGGAAGGGGGGGAAGGGGGGTCTGGCTCCAGACCCCTGCTTAGTGCGACTGTTTGCAGCAGTGCGTCCATTACGGGGGATGCTCCAGCTGCTCGAAACGGGCGCCAAAAGCAGCCAAGATCTCCTCCATATGGAAGGGGGGAGGTGGGGGGGTTGCGAGTGCCCGCCCCGATCGGCCAAACAACGAAAAAAATAACGACCACATTCCCATCGCTCTGCAGTCCATGTTTCGCAGGCGTGCTGTGAGGTGCACGGTTTCCCCCGGGGCTGTAGGTGACCCGAGGAGGAGGAGGCGGAGGAGGAGGAGGAGGAGGAAGAGGAGGAGGAGGGAGGAGGAGGAGGAGGAGGAGGAGGAGGAGGAGGAGGAGGAGGAGGAGGTGGAGAAGGAGGAGGAGGAGGAGGAGGAGGAGGGTAGAGGAGGGGAGGAGGAGGAGGAGGAGGAGGAGGAGGAGGAGGAGGAGGAGGAGGAGGAGCTCTTCGAGCGAGCTCTTCGAGCTCTTCGGTCGGTGACTTCGTCACAAGGAGGGAGGAGGAGGAGGAGGAGGAGGAGGAGGAGGAGGAGGAGGAGGAGGAGGAGGAGGAGGAGGAGGAGGAAGAGGGGGAGATCGAGGAGGAGGAGGAGGAGGAGGAGGAGGAGGAGGAGGGGGAGGACAGGTCGTCGAAGCCCTTCGGAGAAACCCTCCACTGTGAGGGTGTGTGGTGGGGCCTTGGTCGCTCGAGCGGCACAACTCTCCTGCGGGGCAAGCGGCTCGGCAGAGCCGCCAGGAACACCTGCAACAGCGCGCCTCCGGCTGCTCACGCGCTGGACTCCTCCTCCTCCATCTCCTTCTCCTCCTCCGCCTTCTCCCCCTCGTCCTCCTCCTCCTCCTCCTCCTCCTCCTCCTCCTCCTCCTCCTCCTCTTCCTCCTCCTCCTCCTCCTCCTCCTCCTCCTCCTCCTTCTCGTTTCGACATTGGGAGGAAGGGGGGGGGGATGGAGGGGTCTGGCTCCAGGCCCCTGCTTAGCGCGACTGTTCGCAACAGTGCGCCCTGTGGGGGAGACTCCGCCTGCTTGAAACAAGCGCCAACAACCGCCAAGTCACGGCCCAGGGGGGGGGGCTTTTCAAATAAGAAGAGGCGCCATGAAATCAGGGGAGGTATCGTGGCCGCCGCCATGATATCCCCCTCTAGTCATCACCCCCTCTTGGCCGCCCCCGACGATATCGCTATTGCCTGGACCTCTCCCGGAGTGCGTCCTGACCATAATCCCAGCACCAATCCAGCCGTAGCGACGAGGGCCTTCAGGAGGAGGCCAAGTGAGACAACAAAAACGAGGCAAGAGGTAGCGGTGTCGGTACCTTTTCCTCCTCCATGGGGGATGCGAATTGCGAAACCTTGGGATCCAGCGCAGTGACGTCCTACGCAGATCAGAATGAAACCTCGCCGTCCCTGGGGGCGGCGGACTGCCAACAACTGTCCCCCACTTTCGTGGGCTCCTGGGGGTCCAGCGGGGAGAGGTCCTATTCAGATCAGAATGGGGCCTGGCCGACCCTGAGGGCTGCGAACTGCGACACTGCCAACGCTTTCGTGTGCTCCTGAGGGTCCAGCGGAGTGCGTCCTACGCAGATCAGAATAAGACGTCGCCTCCCCTTGCGGCTACGAACTCCGAGAATGTCGCCACTTTCGTGGGCTCCTGGGGGCCCAGCGGAGTGACGTCCTTCGCAGATCAGAATGAGACCTCGTCGTTCCTGGGGCTTAGAACTGCGAACATACCGTCACGTTCGTGCGCTACTGGGGGCTCCAGCGGAGTGACGTCCTACGAAGATTTGAAGATGACCTCGCCGTTCCTGGGGGCTTCAAACTGTGAAAACGTCGTCACTGTCGTGGGCTCCTGGGGGGTCCAGCGGAGTGACGTCCTACACAGACCAAAGGAAACCTCGCCGTCCCTGGGGGCTGCGAACTGCGAACGTGTCGTCACGTTCGTGTGCTCCTGGGGGGGGTCTAGCGGAGTGAAGCCGTACGCAGATCAGAACGAAACCTCGCAGTCCCTGGGGGCTGCGAACTGCGAAATTATGGTGACTGTGTTGTGCTCCTGAAGGGTCCTGCTGAGTGCTAGACCTCGAGGCTTCCTGGTGGCTGTGAACTGCGAGAGGGTCGCCGCTCTCGCAGGCTCTTGGGAGGTCCTGCGGAGTGGTGTCCCACGCACATCCGAACTAGACCTCGCCCTCCGTGGGGCCGCGAACTGCGCCACTGTCGCCGCTTCCGTGGGCTCCTGGGAAGTCCAGCGGAGTGGTATCCAGAGCACATCAGGACTAGACCTCGCCCTCCTTGTGGGGCTGCGATCTGCGCAGCTGTCGCGGCTTTCGTGGGCTTCTTGGTGGTCCAACGGAGTGGTGCTTTTCGTCTGGTCTGGATCGTAAGAGCTATTGCGTGAATGAAGGGGCGTGGGCGTGTCAGGCGTTCTCCGGCGAAGTGTTCAAAGGCACTACAGATATGTCCGCGCATGATTTTGGAATGAAGCGGTCCTGGGTATAATCGTCATGTGTGTAGAGCGAATTGAGTATGTCCAAATATGTATTCCGTTTTCAGCTTTCCGGGATTCGGCCAACCCGAACGACTCGGCAAACAAGACAACAACCCACAACATAAAGAACACGGCACTTCAGAACGGAACCGCAACGAACATGGCGCGAACGATAATCCCAAAACGGAAATAATGATCGACCCACGAACCCAGAACGGAATCTAGAAATGTGAAGCATGGTAACGTTTTCAAGACACCATATTCGGCGACGGGCAATTGCAATGCTGAGTGTATCGATCTTGACGTACCGTACCAAGGGCTGTGCTGTACTGCGCCGTGCTGAATTGCGATGTGCCATGCCGCGATTGTGCTCTATAGCGCTGTGGATCGACTCCTCATTTGCATCCGAGTCCTGACCGAACTGATCTGGATGTTCAGCTCGAGCTGCCTGAGAACATAATCGCTGCCCCAAAGCTGGTTGAAATTGAAACGTGCGGGACGTTCAATCAACTCGACCTCAGAATCCGACTCAGCTCCGAAAAGGAACGGCACGACATAGGGGCACATGCTCACGGACGCGCCACAAGATGTGCCAGGGGCGCAATAGGGGATGCGCCAGGGGGCGTGTCAGGGGACGTATCAAGGGACGTGCCCTGAACGTGTCAGGGACCTGCTACGTGACGTGCCAAGGCGCGTCACATGGGGCGGCGGCCACAGGACGTCATGCCAAAGGACGTTGCAAGGGGCGCGCCACGTAACGGCAAGGGAACGCCTGGGGACGAGCCAGGAAACGTGACAGAGAACGAGCCAAGGAACGCGCCATGCCGAGTGGCGTGCTAGGAAACGTGCCAGGGCACGTCACGCCAGAACGTCGCAAGGGACGCGCCAGGGGACGCGCCAGCGCGCCAGGGGACGCCTCACGAACGGGCAGGGTTGGACTGCGATGCACTCTACTGCGACAAGCGTTACGCTCGAGACATCCTCAATCAATCCTCATGTTGGACATCCGAGTGGGCGACCTGGACACGTGAAAACAAGCGTCTCGCTGGGGCATCCCCAGCACATCCTCATGATAGACATTCGCCTGGGCGACCTGCACACGTGAAACCAAGCGTCTCGCTCAAGACGTTCTCAACACCTCCTCATGCTAGACATCTGTCTGGGCAACCTGGACGCGTGAAAACAGACGTTTCGCTCGCTCAACACATCCTCAACACATCCTCATGGTAGACATCCGCCTGGGCGTCCTGGACACGTGAAAACAAGCGGTTCGCTAGACACATCCTCAACACATCTTCATGCTAGATATCCGCCTGGGCGACCTGTGCACGTGAAATTAAGCGTTTCGCTCGAGACGTTCTCGACACCTCCTCATGCTAGACATCCGCCTGGGCGACCTGGACACGTGAATGCAAGCGTCTCGCTCGAGGCAGTCCTCAACATATCTTCATGTTAGACAGCCGCCTGGGCGACCTGGACACGTGAAAACAAGCGTTTCGCTAGAGACGTTCTCAACACATCCTCATGGTAAACATGTTTTGCTCAACACTTCGTCAACACATCCTCATGCTAGACATCCGCCTGGGCGACGAGGACGCGTGAAACCAAGCGTCTCGCTCAAGACATCCTCAACAAATCCTGGCGCTAGACTTCTGCCTGGGCAACCTGGAGGCGTGAAACCAAGCGTCTCGCTCGAGACATCCTCAAGACCTGGGCACGTGAAAGCAAGCATTTCAACTGAGACATCGTCTGAATTCTGGCCCCCAGGAGAGGAGCAAACTTTAACATAAAACGAGCGTTTTGCTTGAGACATCCCAACCCAATTCTGCTAAACAAGCGTTTCGCTTGAGACATCCGCAACAAACGAAACTACCTACTTTGCCATGTGCTTTATCCATCGGAATTTCAAACACCAACGTTTAGCTCGGGCTAT